CTTTGCTCACTGCTGCACCCGAGTACAACCAGATACAAAGTCTGGAATTATCAAATAATCCGCAAGCATACAGAAATCACAGAGGACAAACGACTGGATATGAGAGCTTAGCAACATGGACTTAGCAACGTGGGATGAGCGAGGAGGGAAAAAATTGCTATTTTCCCCTAGATACAGTACCATTCGTACTTCTGTGAGGGTCACCCTACGGTATTTTGTGCAGTTCTGATGTTCACACACTTAAAAGGACGCAGAATGATTTGGACAGAAACAGTGAGATCGCTCAAAATTATTCAGGAGATGAAAAGAATTCCTTCCCGTGGAGGTGTTAAAGAGCTCAATCTGTTTAGCTTATGAGCCAATGAGAGAAACTTGATTAAAGGAATATAGCATCAGGTACAAAAGCATTCTTTGATTTAGAGGACACAGTAAAATAGCTGTAATGTACTGAAAGCAAGTCCTAGTGAGTTACAAAACATCAGCTTTCTATTGAGTACACGCAGTACATTACAGTCATACAATCATGAAGTACTTTCTTCTACAAGAAGCCTCACTGAGTGTGCAGGATACCTGGTGGTTATTTGGCGAATGTTTTTATTCCTAGCTTAATCCACGGCCTCATGACTCATTGTACGCCATTTAGACGTAGCACCAAACACAGCTTTGCTTCTTTCAGCATTGACTTTCATTTGGCTGTCACTTTAACAGCGTATGAATGTAATTCAATGAACTGAAAGAGATACAGGAAGATAAAAGCCCTCATAACGTGTGTTACACAACATTTCACCTGGACAAAGGGTGTTTCAAACATTACCCAAAATTTCTTAAGTTGTTCATAAACTTCTAATTAACCAAGCTAAGTATTTTCACCACTGGTAGAAGCACTGACAAGCCTTTTCCTGCCGTTTTCAGAGTTACTTTAGAAACTGCTGTAAGAATGAATGGCCAGAATCAGCTCTAGGTTTGAGTGGGTTTATCTCTGCTACAGAAAAACCTTGTGCAGATATTCCAGATCTGCCATAACATGTCAGAAACCAAATGGCTTCTGCAGGTTCCTGGTAAACCTTTCCTTTATCCTGCAATGTATATATAAATATACATATTGTACATATAAATATACATATTGTATATATAAATACCTGCAATGTAGTTGCTGCAGCATTTATCCATACTTCTACGTGCAACTGTTCTACACAACAGAAGCTCCAAGGTCAGATGCTTTTTCAAGCAGACTCTGATCAGGTCACTGCTTGTGAGTCACCAAGGATGGAATGTTTCCTTTCTGTTCACAGTAGCACATCTGCTGCTGTGATTTACAGATTGGCTATCCATTTATCATCTGCAATGGGACTTTTGTCTCTGCTGTGAACTGCCTGCCAAGATGAGTTCCTCTGCCTGGAGCATCACTGTCCTTGTGCTAACATAGAATGTTTGGGGTTTCCTGACCAACATTTTGCTACAGATGTTCCTTGAAGCCTTACAAATAGTGACATAAATAAAACAGACAGAAACCATAAGCTTTTACCCCCTAATTTGGCCATGTACTGGGAGGAACTGGAGCACACATCCTCATACCCATGGATTTTCCTAGCCAGAGCTCCACTAGCATGTCCTAGATCCAGTTCCATCTCAGCCCTACTCAGAGCAGTCCCAGTGAACTTTCTCCCACCGTATTCCTCGAGTCCACAGCTATGCCTTCATCGCCAGCTGCACATCAAACCTTACCTTGCTCCTCAAACAGCCTTTGTTTCACATCTCCCCACAGCTGTCCTTAAGCCCAGATTGCCTCACCCCTTTCTTTCTGCCATTTCTCCTAACAACCCAAGGAGCTGCCAATAGAGACAGGAAGCTGGGAGATCCAAGCGTTCCCCTTCCAGTTCCTGCTTCTGAACATAGCAGCACCGGCGACAGCAATCTTTATAGACCCTGTGATCTTAACAACACATACCTACAGTACAGTTATGAACCTGAGACTTTCAGAGAGCCATGACTTTGCCACGCTCCAGCTTAATTTCCCAGAAATCGCAAAAGACATTAGAAAAACCTATAATGCTCTGCTCAGCATTTTGCAGTTGTTGGAATATCACAGGTTTCACGCTACCTGGACAAGACTTACACTGCTGCTGTTCAATTGAAACTTTCACTGAGCACTGACGTGGGTCTTGGCCAGGGAGTTAATCAAGATTTACTTCCCTCTGGTAATTCACCAAAGTTAAACCCTGAAATGAAAATCTACTCATTCATAGCAAATTAATCCAGCTTTAAGCCCCACCCAACCTGAAAAATTGGCTTCATCTGTCCGTAGTGAAAAAAGATCAAATAGAAAAAGGAAAGTTAAGCTTAATTGCAGCATTTATTGTGCTGAGACTGCTGTGATGTGTCATATCTGCAAGAAAACCAAGCTGAGTGAAACCACAAAAAATTGGGGTGTAAAAAATTGCAGAGTTGTAGTAGGTTAAAAGCTGCAGATCTTTGACCAGGAAAAAAAATCTTGTACTTCTTTGTTTCTTTCAAATGAATTTGAAACCTCGGGTACATTTCCAGGAGGCCTGATCTCTTTGTAGCTTACTACAGCACTACAAAACTTGCAAGTGTTTTCTTTCTACTGGAAAGTCACAACTATCATACGTTACACTATCCTAAAGTACACATCTGCCTGTATTACATTACTGTCAGAACAGTAGTTTATATTGGATATAAGCGTTTCAGCACACGATGCTTGCAAAGGCCACAGGAGAATTTCCTGAGCTTTGCTCTCTGAGGATGTCTGGAACTCCTTAGCAACCTTGCTAACGGACTGAAACTGCAGCCTCGAGGTAGCAGGTGGTGTCTCTGTATACCTGAAATAGCTGCTGGCTGCAGCAAGCACACAGACATCTCCAGCAAATCATTCAGCACAGAGACATCAAACCTAGCATATAGACAAAGACACGTTCAGCTGGGACTGATGGAGGCAGGAGAAATAGTCATGAGTGCTGACTCCTGCAGTTGCCTTGTATCACTGCAGAGAGCACACAGCTTTAGAGGATGTTTTCATGACAGTTTGATAATAGGCTTCATGTAAGCCTGCTTTGGATGTAGGGGCATCAGGAAGGTGTGAAATAACAGAGTGTGAGAGACAGTGATCTAAGTACTTGAATTGCTCGGCCCACTAGAAGCCCTTATACATGTCAGTTTATGCTACAAGACATATTATCCACAGCGAGCTGCCTTGTACCTGCCTGGCATTGCCTCAGCTCCAACTATTTTTTTCCTTCCACTGATAAACTTCATCAAGTACAGCTTGCAGTTGTTCTACATGAAACAATTTCAGGACTGAAATGTCACCAGCTGCATAACCATAAACATTTTGCCTATTCCTTTAGCTTTCAAGGCAGAATTGTATTGAGTTCCGGTGTTTCTCTCATTCTCTGCCATGCAGCTAAGGGAATATAGGTCCCTAGGTTCACACACACAGCTGACCTTTTATTTTCTGCTACGTGCATTCAATTTCAGATGGCCATAGGTAAGGTCTTGAGATGTTGTTTTCCATCATGCTAAACTAATAGGAGGTCTCCATTTTTACACATTTAATAAGCTTGAGTGCTAGCTTTTCAGTGTTGCATGAAAAACAGAGGTCGTTCAGAAGGTTATAACTTTTTTGGAACAAAATAACTGTTGTGACACTTCTCTGCAAGGAACAAAGGACAAAAACCAATGCACACTAGGCAAATCATTGCAACCCATGTAAATAAGAAATTCTAAATAAGTAATTTTCCTTTTCCAAAGAGATCTGAATTCTCAATATGAAATGTAATCAGGAGATCCCACAGCAAACAGATGGAGTTGAAACATCTAACCTTGATTAACCCTCATTTAAAACTTAAATTCGGTGACACATTTCTTGCAAGAAGAAAACACCTCAATTTTACATGCTACCTGCGCTCACAATTGCTTAAGAGCTGCACGTCTCCCCTTTCCAGCCAATGACATATTTGCACCTCGTTCACTGAAACGCTATGGGTAACTCTCATGGAACACCCGCTTTCTTCAGACTTCTCTCCAACCTCCTCAGGTCAATACTTAGCTCTGGGGTTCCAATAGCCCGATATCACTCTATGTACCGCGTTTTAAATCCCAGCGTCTCTGCCATTTAAGTTACACGCTACTAATCATCTCCGCTCCTGTCCGCCCGCCAGTAACCCAACAGCCACGCTCACACACCGCTCCTCATTTTCGCTCGTTCACACCTCACAGCATCCCCGCTGCAGGGCTCTGCACGCTATTCCCTTGGCACACCCAGAACCTCATCTCCTCGTTCACTCCGCCACGACCAAGGACTGCTCCTCAGGACCTTCCCACGCAAGGTCAGCCATGCTGGTATCACTGGAAGTTGCTCTGGACTTGCAACTTTGCTGAGGTGTCCGTGGCCACGGCACCCATCTGGGCACCGCCAGCACTGCTGGCAGAGGGCCTCGCGTTAAGGCGAGGAACTCTCTGCTACCCCTGCTTTCCCAAGGGAAGGCGTTTTATCACCCCTAGCATCTCGCCTCAGTCTGGATCCGGATCTGAAAGCAACGAACCCATCTCACCTACAGCCCTTCGGCACACTTACTCCTAAAAACAAGCAGCAATTTCCCGATTATTCCTCAGTACCAATGCTTTAGCATCGACTCCCCTTCAAACAACAACGCATTTAAAAACTATCACCCCGCTCAGCGTTACTTTACCGAGCTGAGCGAATTAAACTTTGTAACCCCACGACTCCCAGACGGGGCACGGCGTATTTCAATAGGAGCGTACAGCAGCGCCGGGCGGCCCCGGCAGGCGGGCGGGCGGGTAGCGGTAGCCCACCGGTTGCAGAGCCCGGTCCGCCATACCGCTTCCCTACGAGCCCGCACAGCGAGCCGGCAAGCAGGAGCGGCACCTCGCTCGGCTCTGCCAGCCTCGCGCTCCCCGGATCCCTTCTCCCCGCCGCCCAGCCCAGCCCCGCCGCGCGGCGGCTCCCGGCCGCCCCGTACCTGACAGGGCGCAACCGGCCGGTGCCCTGGGGAGAGGGAGCAGCTTCTCCCGCCGGCCCGGCGCGGCAGCGGGCAGCCGGCTTTGTTACTACTCGGAGGATCGGTGCCGTCGCTATAGAAACTGGCTGCGCCTCGGAGCGGCGGCGGCGAGTGGCGGGCGGGGGTGCGGGGCGAGGCGAGACTAGGCGAGGCGGGGAAGGAGCCGTTCATTCAGGAGGATCCCGGCCTCCCCCGCCGCGCTGCAGCCGGCCCCCGGCGCCGCCCTCACCTCAGCGTGCTCCGCTCCCCTGCCGCCCGAAAGCTGGATGCTTTCCACAGCCTTTCGGCCGCCCCAGGGCGGCGAGGACACCGGGTGGCGGGTGCCCGCTCCGCGAAATGGCGGCGGTTAACCTGGGCTCCTGCCCCGTTCGGTTTGGAGCCTCTCGAACTTCTTTACGTTTCATCTTGTAAATGTGAATTAGCTTCGAGGCCGTCGGTGAGGAGCTGTTCTCGGGCTGGAGCTTGCTGCTGGGACCCTTAAAAGAGCTCTCTGAAGTGCAGAGGGGGTTTTGTTCACTCGTTTCATCTGATGGCATTGGGGCCTGAGGGGCAAGGAGTCATAAAACCGTTTGAGTTGGAAGGGACATTTAAAGGCCGTCTAGTTCAACTCCTCCGCGATGAACAGGGGCGCCTACAGTTAGATCAGGTTGCTCAGAGCCTGCTCCAGCCTGACCTTGAATGTCTCCGGGGACTGAGCATCCATCGCATCTCTGGGCAACCTATTCCAGTGCCTCACCACCTTTACTGCAAAAACTTTTTCCTATATCAGGTCCATATCTCCCCTCTTTTGGTTTGAAACCATTTCCCCCTGTTCAGCAACAAAGGAAGAACAGAGTCTGTTATTCTGAGTGCTGTGCAGGCAGCTGGCAGGAAGGGATATGCAGGTGGTAAAAAGGATGATGATAGATGAAAGAATGGAGGGAGAGGACAACAGTGAAACAGGTTAAAGTGGATAATGTTCACCTACCTGGCCATCCGTGCTTGGAAAAGACAAGCTTGGCAGAATCTGTGGCTGCCCTTCTGGCAGAGATCTTACGTTTCTCCCACAGCCAAGTGGATGGAAAGTGCCATCAGGCCATGACGCTTTGAGTAGCAGAGTCTCCCTTGAGTTACCCTGAGGATGGCATGCTTTCCCACAGCAACGGCCAACTGCATGTCACAGACACTCACCTGCTCGTCCTTTTTCCTGCTTTGCATGGCAGGCAAAAGCTGAGTCAGTTCCTCTTCCAGTCTTCTTTCTTTCTTCATCCACTAAGGGCTCAGTGGTATCAGTTTGTTGAAACTCCCTTAAACATTCTTATTCCCTCAACAATAGTAGATACAACACCACTCAAAGTGCAAGACAAGTGTCTTCTTTTCCCTGGTTTATATAAAATTGGTCTTTAGAGTTTGCCAAACAGAAGAAACCCAACAAGCAAGATGCAGCTTAGATGCTGTGTTATCCATCTCAGCTCCTGCTTCTGCTAAGCTACAGGGGATGACTATTAAGTATCAGCACTGCAAGTCACTGTGAGCTGATGAATCTGTGCCAAGAGCTGCTGGCACTCTGCAGAAAATACTCTTTAGGAAGAGTTTGCCAAAGACAAGAAAGGCTGCCCCCCAGGAACTCATCACAAAGCAGTGCAGCTCACAGCAGAACTGCTGGCAGATCCTATCACAGCCAAACACAATGATGGCACAAGGGAGGGAGATGGAAGGTTGGATATGAAAGAGGGTCGCGCCTATTTATCTGTCTTATTTGCATGCTAAGTAGTAATTGCAGAGTTAAAAAAGTGTGCATCCAGCCAGAGCCTAGCACAGTTAAATGGAATATTTTACCTTAGCAAATTCACTTGTTCTGAAGTGGAAGGAGTAGTATTAGAGAAGTGAATGATCTGCCATGTGCCAGCTTCTGTAGCAGCAGAGACATTCTTCTCCTATTTCCTATATATAAAATCATATTTTCATCTTTTCAATCACATGGAGGAACAGTGTTGTTATTTAATTTTGTTCTTCAAAAAGTCTGGAAGCTGGAAAGCAAATGGAGTTCTAAAACCTTTTGGAAAAGTAAGCATGTTAGTTAACGTGTTTTGAGAAGTGTTTAGAGACACTAATGTTGTTGCAGGAAATGATCACTGTTTCAACAGCAAGAAACAATGTCATTCGTAGGACGCCTCATTTTTCTTACAAAAGATTTTCATAGCACTTTCTCCCAGGTGTAAGCCCTGAAGAATTATCAATAGACTTATTTGATCTCTAGTCTCACTGAAATAAAGCACTTGAGTATTGTTATTATTTTGCATGCTGATATGACCATTGCCAGCTTCTGAGTCAGCAGTGACATGCGCCTCTTTCTCACTGAGGAGGATTTTTTCCAGTAACACAGTGTACCGAGGGAGTTCATCATGGAGCACTGAACAAGTATTAACATTCACATGGGGCAGAACAGCTTTTGATGGTGTCCCTTCTCTCTTGCCACTTGTCCTTACTCAGAACGCCACTCGTCCCACCAAACACTTATTCCATGGCACTGTTTGTTCCCTGTAAGCAGAGCGGAGTATCCTTAGCACACCTCTAGACCATTAAAGAAAGGATTCTTCAGTCAAAATGAAATACACACTTAGGACACTCTCAAAAAAGAACAAATAAATAAATAGAAGGGGAGAGGTAAGATGTGATAAAATTGGAATAACAGCATTTGATACTAATATTAATTATCATTACCAGTATTATTATTAGCACTGTGGTGCAGCCTGGAGGGTCCACCAGAGCCAGGCACTGCATTCCCACAGAACAAAAATGAAGATAATTTCTGCCCCAAGGAGTTTACATTAGAATTAAATATTTTTCCTGAGGGCCTGAAATTTGTTACGCGTTTGTGTGGTGGCTAGCAGAGTGGGGCCTAGTTTAATTGCAGCCTTTTAGTTGTGTATAATATACATTCTAATCAATATAATAATTGCAATAGTATTTCTGTCAGGAGGCAGTGTAAATCCTGTATCTTGTGTCTAGGGGCTAGCTGTCCTTCTGGAAACTAGGGACTTTTGTACCTGGAAAATGAGTTGGGGTGGTAACTGAAGGAAGTAATAAAATGTGAGTATGCTAAGATAGGAGATGAGCCCCTGGGCTTCAGCTTGTTAAGGAAAAATTTCCCTTTCATGGGGCTACCTTATGGTTTTTGATTGTATTGAGGAAACTCTGCCTTGAGGAAACAGTATGTGTAAATGTGTTCACACTTGCAGCTGATTCCTTAACACAATAATTATCAGATGTTTATAAAGTCGACTTGTGGTGGGAGAGAAGGTACTGCTGAGCATTCAAAACTGCTGGGAAGCAAATATTGCTACTATCTGGTTGACTTTCAACGTGACTGGGCTCATGTCTGCCCTTCACTGTGTATTGCCATGCTGAGAGCCCCCAGCTACTGTAAACAAGGCAGCCAAGTCACCTGCTGAGAGAGAGGCAATAGATGAGTCGAAATGCAGCGCTGTAAGTTACAGACATGCTTGGCAGTGTTTGCACTCGCTGTGGGGGACAGCACAGATATATCCCAAGGGTATGCACACGCAGGCCTCCTGTGACAGCCTGGCATCTCTAGGAAACATGTGAGTTAGCAGAGTATGTTAAAAATCTCACTGATCTGGAAAGGGGTAAAAGGATGTGACAGTATACAGAACGCACACCGTTATTTGTTTTTGCTTGCTGTAAAAGAGCCTCAGAGATAGCAATTAGAGACCTATCCTAAGGAGATCAATAAACACAACAGAGATTCATGCTAGGAAAACTTAAATCTGGATGGAATATTCTCACAACCTACTGGGATCTGAATTGAGTGCAACTGCTCGGAAAATCCTGGTGTTACTGTGGAAAGCTCAATGGAAGCAGTGTTTAGAAAGTGAGCAAAATGTAAAGAAAGATCAGACTGGAAATGTTGTAATTCCCACAGTTCAGACAACTGCTTCAAGTTGTCTCGAGTACTTTGTTCAGTTCTGGGAACTGGATTTCAAAACAGATACAGCAAACTGAAACTATCTGAGAGAGGAATAATTAGAGGCTGAGAATTTTCTATATGGAGAAACTGAAAAGATCAAACCTGTTTATGGATGGCATGAATAAAAGAAGACATGATAGAGCTTTATAAAAAATAATGAATGGCAGGGAGAAGATAAAACCTGCATTACTAGTCGCTCTTTTAAAATATATATATAATTTAAGAACAAGTATTCACCCACCGTATCATTAAAATGATACAAACTTTAAAGTGGTGAAAGGAAATATTAGCCATTGAAGTGGAAGTATTTACTTACTTGAGATAGAATTTAAAGAAAAAATTTGATTACATAAAATGTGTAAAGTGATAAAAACCTTCCCATTTCAACGCAGACGCCTGGAGTTAAGCAGGCAGTGAAGGAGGGTCGGGGAAAAGAACATTAAGAGAAACTCCTCTTGGGCAAATTACTGAATTTCTTGAGAATTCTTCTGATTTGTGATCTTTAGTGGGAGGATATGCAGCAATATAAGATATTGGCTTTCAGATGATATGTAGATTCACTTTCTCATCCAGGAAGGATTAGCATTGCCCTCAGCCACAGGCACACATCTGTATCTATGTGTGTATCCTCCCTCTCCAGTTGAAACAGCACTGGAAGTTTATCTTCCCACAGATCACCAAAGGGCTGCCCTACTGGGAAAAGGCAAAGCCTGCATTTTGAACTCATTTGCACATCTGGCTTCTGGGAACTCAGATATCTAAAGACCCATCCAGCTGACAGATATGGCCCTGTATTTGGTCCAGGCTCTAAGCAGTGCTGCCAAGCACCAGCTGATTCCAGTCTGAGAATCATTCAAATATGGTAGTGTGCCAGAACTTGTGACCAGTTCATACTTAACTCCACCAGAGCTGGAGCGGATTGAATATCTGATCATTAATGTTTCCTCAAATAGATGCAAACTTAATAGCTGAAAACCAACAGAAGCTAAGTTGAAAACAGAGTATTTTCCTATTATTTTACTTTGTTACTATCCCCAGCCAATGAGTCACCTTCAAAAATTTTCATCTTAGATTTTGCAGTCACTAATCCAACCGAACCCCTAAGCCTTACTGGAGGCTAGGTTAGGAGATTCTTTTTACCAGAATAAATTAGATGAACCCATGTTAGACAGACATTTTTCATACGAGAGTTCAGTATAAAAACACACCAACTTTCTAGCAAAACAAAGCAGGGAAAGATGATGGTGTGAGAAATCCACACATATCCCAAGAGTTTCAGACAGCTGAAAACTACTTACACTTCATGCAGACATAGATTAACTTGAATGATGCTTAAATTTGATGGTGAATTGATGATGTCAGTGCTGCAGAGCATTACTATTGCCCTTGTATTTATAAGCTACATCACCCAAATAAGTCCTCACACTGAGCCCACCTTCTCAGTACACAGGAGTTACATTTTTTTCCATGCTGTTTGTGTAATAAACCAGTCTGAAATTGTTCAAGTACATTGACCAACCTATACTGCACTATAGGTTCAAAATATGCCCATCTTTTCTTGACTCACATTTAAACAAACAAACAAACAAACAAAGCCCTAAAAAACAACAAAACAACAGACTGAAAACCAATTAGTGGCTCACAGCTGGAGCCTGTGTGGTAATTTGGTACCAGCAATGGCTGTTTCCCTTTGCATTTCCCATCCACATCATGAAAGATGATGTCTTACTAAAACAACTGCAGAAAACTCTGGCAATTACATTTCAGTAGTCATTTGCCATCAACTCTAAGGAAAGTTTTGTTCAGATTTTTACTCAACTAGAATGAGTTTCCATAAAAATGTTCATTATGAGACATTATGCCCTCCCACACCCCAATAAAAGAGTGGAAAAAATACCTGTCTAATGGGAGCTCAGTTTTCCCTGGGTTGTGATTCCATA